CTTACCACAAGTGAATATCCAATTCCTCAATCTCCAATTCTTGATCTTTAATCTTCAAGTAGTTATTTCACAAGAAACACACAAGTTAAAGAACCAAAATAATTAAAACCTACTTAAGCACCTTCCCCGGCAACGGCGCCAAAAACTTGATGCGGCATAAACATGTACCAAAAAGGTTGCAAGTGCACAACCGTGTCAAGTTATAGTATTTAAAATATCGATCCCACGAGGAAGGTGTTTTGTAGGAGAAAATATAAAATTGGTTCTTATGTTGTGTGCGTGACAAATAGGAGTGATAAGTGAATGTGATTGTGGAGAGATAATGAGAGTGAAAGTGATAGTGTGTGAAGCGGCGCAAGATTTAAGTGGGAGTGGATGTGACAAAGAATGAGTGTGATCAATAAGGCAAGAAGGAAAAAAAATTGAATAAAATCAAGAAACAAATAAAAAATTAAGAATGAAGAACAAAATTCTCGAATAAAAAAAAATGTAAGAAATTAAAGATGGTGGATTCAATTATAGATATGGGTAATCTAAAATTGAACCCACTTTTTAGAAAATGGTGATTCCCTAGAGGGTTCTAGCCTAAAGGTGAATCAAACAAAATAAAAATAAACAAAAAGAAAAACTAAACCCAAGAGGGTTCTAGCCTCAAGGTGAATAGTATAAGAAATTAAAATCTAACTACAAAATAAATTGCAAAATCTAATTACAAAATAAAATTGCAAGAATTAAATGCAAGAAATTAAATCTATTCTATAAGCATGAAATAAATCTAAGGCAAGAGGGTTCTAGCCTCTTGGCTATTTAACAAGAAAATAAAATCTAAACTACAAGCATAGAAATAAATCTACACTAATAAGCAATAAAACGGAAATAAAAGAGAAAAAGGAAAGAAAATGCAAACCTCTAAATAATTCTTCATCTCCATCTTCATCATCCAACAAAGAGAAGAAATATTTAAAGTGGTGAAAAAATTATTATTATTAATTGCAACAAAAAGTTACAATTTTTGGAAGGCCTTCTCAATTAAGAGTAGCCCTCCTCTCCAAAAGGAGTTACAAAATTTTCACACCTCTAACCCCTCACTCTCTACCCCTATTTATAGTAAACATCAGTGAATGAGAGTCATTGGATCAAACTTGAGCCCCAAGACAAGCAAAATCAGCCATTGACACGCGCTACAGTAGTCTGGTATCGATGTAAGCATCGATGCAGGTATCGATGCCAGCATCGATGCCAACATCGATGCCGACATCGATGCCCACTTTTTCCAAATTCTGATTTCATGGATAGCTTCGTCTCGTCGAGATAGGCGATTTTCATATATTATATGTTAAATTCCGCCTTCCGGATTAGGAGATATCGTCGTTTCTTTGTGGCCAACCATTTTGAATATGATTTCTTTTCATATTGGATTTTTGATTTTCTCCGGCTTCTACAGGCTACACGACTTCATTCTGGGCTTTTGGATAATTTGGAAATTGATTTTCCAATGTGCTTCTTTGCTTCATTTCTTCATTTAATCAATGGGTTTTTGTTGAGAGATGAGAGTTTGAGATTTATTCTTCATTAACCTGCAATTAAAAGATAAAAATAATTATTAGTGGTATATTTATTCATATAAAATAGATAATGAGGGTATAAAATTATAATAAAATATGATTATCAGCATGTTTGATATTTTTGGGTTCACCTTGGACTGCAGCCTTATTTGAAACCAGGAGCGTCATAGTTTCCAATCCTAAAGATCAGATACCTGTCATTCTAGGAAGACCTATCTTAGCCACTTCTAATGCTCTAATTAACTGTAGAACTGGCCAAATGAAGCTATCATTTGGAAATATGACTGCTGATATCAAGATTTTTAATACATCGAACCAGCCAACTAATCAACATCAAGAAATGAATTACCTTTAGAAGGTAGAAGAAGAAAATGAGTCAGTTTTGAGTTTTCAAAAAAAATTTGGTGTGGAACTGAAGATGTTTTTAGCAATAGGATCATATTTGGTCTCCTAGAACAAAGGAACTGTGTTTGATACATGTTTATCTGATCCTAGTTTTAAAGAACTTTTTGCGGATGAACTTAGGATCCTAGAAAATACACAACAACTAAATTTTCATACCTCAACCATGAATTTTGGGGTTGATGAAATTTATAAAGAAGAATGATTTTTGATAGGACAAACTTTCATAAATAAAGAATCTAAGTTTAACCAGAAATTCAAAATGCATGACATCATTGATACCTACCTTCAATTGATGCATAATTTATTAAAACCTTCGGTATACACAGAATTTAAGCACATTTTTGAGTTCATCATCTTAGACTTCTTTAAAATCTGTTAAAGAATCTTCAGCAATAAAGTAGCATTTGATGTAGAATACGAGCTTTTCATATTCAATTTGTTATTCTACATCTTCATATTTTATCTCATAATAGTACAAAAAATAATAAAAATTTTATTCTTCTCTCATTTGGAAAAGGGGTATGAAAAATATATATATATATCAAAAAAAGAAAAACTAAAAAGGGAAGAATAAAGTTTTGACTTCATCCTCCACATACCATAGATAATTGCAAATTTTATCATCTCATCATTGTTCTAGGTCGATAAAAAATGTAAATATATATTTATTAAAAAAGTAACTGTACAAAAGAAGAGTGCGAAAAATGGGCACCAATGAAAACTCTCTTGAAACTCAAGATGCTTCTAAGCCTAAGTTGACCGAATAATTAAGCCCAATGAGTATTTCCATGCTTAATGACTTAAGCCCAATTGGATTGGGATTTATTGGCCCAAAACTCGTTAAATGATCACTTAGAAAGCTTGATGAAGAAGAAGA